CGCTTACCATTTGCAATTCGATTTCTCGTAATTGTTTTCGGCTGATGAGAGACTGGAAACTGGAAACTGGAAAATTTAGTAAAAGTTAAGGAAATTTCCGTCGTTCCGTTCCGAACGGGAAGAGAGGACTACCTCTGGAGGTAGTCTACAATCTCCGAACGGATTTTCTGGAAAATTACTGTTCCATTTGACTTACAACCGAAATTTCCAGATTTTTTTGCTAAATGGCAAGCACCCTAGGAAAAGCTGTCTGTATCAAACTTGACACGAGCTACGAATTATTATGTTGCCTTACATCCGTTTATTGACTCGTTCAGGCCTTCTTTATTTTCTTGTGTTCCTTTAGTTTTGTACTTTGTTCAATTAGTCGCTAGACGTTGTAGAAAGACTGTTATTCGATGAGATTTTCAGTTGATGGCCACTCGATCGGAAGAGGAACATTATGAAAATCATGACAAATAAGGGGAACAGGCTAAGGGGAATTTGTCACAATTTTCAAAATGGCGGCCATAGATACGCAATGCGTGCAAAAAAGAGCATTGTAGCCGTTGCCCTTTACACTCAGTCTTTCACTCATTGCGTGTCTATATGGGTGCCAAGGAAATAAGTGTTATCACTTTAAAGAATGATTGAAATTGAATGAGGAACAGACCGCAGGATGAAATGCCATAATGTGCTTTTCTTGCTGATCACTTAACCAGGACATGAGAATTAATAGGGAATCTTGGCTGAAGAGCAACTTCAGATCCAAAGTATATCTTCTGGTTCTAAGTGATATCTCTGCAAGTTGTTCGAATGAGAAGTGTTTGGTTTTCAGTTGAATTACCTGGGCGTTGCCATGTTTACATTCTGGTAATTTATGACGTCATTGCGTGGTCAGAGATCTCAATGTGGAGACTACAGAAGGCGATTTCTTGTTTGAACTATATTTGTTCAACCGGAACATGAATTATAAACGATTACAAGCAACTCAATGCTGTATTATAAAAACGTCCAACCACACAATGACCTCAATTTCCCATCAAACTTTGCAAAAATAAACATTTTGGCGCGCAGGAAATTTGAAATCTTAAACTAGCGGAGCGAAACGCCCAATAGTTTACAGTTATAGAATTATCGACTTCAAATCGCTGAAACCGTTTAACACAAACACTAACTTGTGATCTGGAACAATTTTTTTTAGCCAAGATTTGCTTAAAGTAATTAAGGGATGTCAATGAAAATAATTCAAAGAGACCATTTTAACTAGTGCGTAAAACAAAGCGAGCATTTTTAATAGATATTAATAATGAGAAAGGAAAAAGAAACTAAAGGTCATTACCTAGAATATACAAATTGAAACATATTACCATGAATGCACATACAAGGGTGACGTTTTAATTGTAGTAAAGTTCACGGTTGGTGATGTGATGTGAACTGAAATCACACTTGTTAATGCACTGAATGCATAAAGACTTCCTTGATGTAAAGATGATGCCATGAAAATAAGTGAGAAGAGAAAATCACTCTTCTGTCAACAACCCGAAAGTCGAGGTTAGTCGAGAATGTCCTTACTAGCAATTTTTAAAGCAAAATTGTTGCTCCTGACACGAACCCCTCCTGTAAGTGTTAATAACATTCACGAATTACGCATGTCGGTGTGTTAGGCAGCCAAGGTGAAGCGATAAGTTTTCTTGAAAGCTATTTTGCAAAATCAATGTTAATGCTGTCATTCTCAGCTGTAACAGCGTAACACTGATCCCTGAAATTCATGGAAGACTTCTCACACATCTTCGTCATTTCTAACCTGCCCAATTTTTAATGTTTCTTTTCAACAAAGTCTAGAAATAAGGACGTATACAATCAATGTTTCTTTCCGCCACATATACAAAGAATAATTGGAACTTTCAAATTAAGCATCTTTCATCTTCCAGAACAATAAAGTGTATTTAGAGCCGTAGGGGACAGAACATCGGCTTTTATAACCAACCATTGTACGATCTTAAAAAACGGAGCTCCAGTTTGACAAAATGTTGAGAAAGATTACTGATTACTTCTTTCAACAGATCATGAAGGAGTCGTTCATGACTAAATTGAATAATAAAGGATTATTCAGGATTATTTCACAACGAGGACCAATATATCTCAAACAAGCCAATGTTAATGGCCTTTCCGCGTGATTTATTACATTTAATGACAGTTTAGGGACGATTTTACGTCATTCAACAACGTCAGAAAGACCAACTCTCTACCAAAAACAATTACATGCTTATAACTTTGAAATACGCTAGTCAACAAATCAATGATTTTCAAACTGGTAATTCCCGAATGGAGACTGTTTATACAAGAAAACAATAGAAGCATTTTATTTGCATGATGAGATAAGGAATGAAAGGTTCCCTTTCGACCGTGTTAACAGAGTTGAACAAATTGGCGTTTTTTCCTCTTATCGATTATTCGTTCTAGGCTGTATATGCTCTCATGTTTAACATCACAGACTTATTTTAAAATGGAAACACTTCTCTAGTCTGCGTGGACCCTGACACGCTTCTTATATCTATATGGAAATTTAAACTGTGTTTAATATTAAAGGAGAGAAAACGCCTTGTTGTTTTATTTATATCTGCTAGCATGTTAGCATCTCAATATGTTTACTCATGTAGGCCGTAAACTCTAGCTCTTTCCCTCGCCTTCTAATTTTCCAAGTTATTCGGCGAGGTTGAAGCGAGTGAGAAGAGAAAAATGGTTGCTAGGTTACAGTGACTAGATACGACGATACAGTATAAAAGAGGCCATTGGTTTGACAAGTGGTAGTTTAAAGTCAGTGATAATGAAAAACCAAGTCGACTTTGCTAGGCTCCCTTGAGCTCAAGAACTATTTATAAATCAAAACAACTTATTCAGAGATAAAAAAAAAAACGTGGTCGTTAGGTCTAGACATTTTGCTTTGTTTCAGTCAAAAGGCTCAGTCACATTAAAACCTTGTTTGAGAGCGGAAAACAGTGACTGCGTGGGTTTAACTTGTGACGTCACAGATGTGTCAATTACCTTATATAGTTTGTGTAAATGTTTCAAAATTTCCTTAAAGTGTTTTGGATCGCATTTCAAAAACGCGGAAAATCCGAGCTAAGGCCGACACAGACACGGGGCCAAAGACTCCGTCGATTTGGCAACTTCCATATTTGTTACCTAAGCTAGGTAAGGCATGTTTGCAACATTTATTGTATAGCCGTATTTGCTGGCGAGCGAATAATTTTCCGACCGAACCTATTGTGAAAAAGCTACGAGTTAAACTGACGTTAAGTGATGGTATATATTACATTAGTCAGCATAGTTTGAACGTTTCGTAATATCCAGTCGAAACTAAAGAAATTTTCAACCTTCTAATTTAAGTAAACCAAGAAATGTGCTCTTCGCGTATTTTACATCACTTCAAAGACCCCGCCGTTTACCTTGTACGGAGTCAAATATTTAGAGTCATGCATTACATTGTCAAGGTTTTGTATAAATCTAACAGCTAATGTTGGGAAAAATAAATCCTTGCATTCAATGAAAATATTAGATACAGCTTTGCGTGCGTCTTTTGATGCATTCCACGCTGTGAGAATTTCAAGTGACGTTTTGAGCTGGGCGTTAAACACAGGACATTTAGTAAAAAAAGAAAAAAGAACCGAGACTAAACATTAGGGAGTGAAGCAGCTAACAACGCTGACAGAAACGTCAATTAGAAAAGAGTTTTAAAAATATTCCGCTTAACCACCTTGCGTTTATGAATTCAGTTTGTTTTCAGATTTCTCAGTTGTAGCATAATATGTAAAGACCACAGCCTTGAAAGACGTGCGTTTTGCACGTTCTCACGATAAATAAGACAAAATTTGGTTATTTCACATTGCTGGTCTGCAACCCGCTTGGCAAAGAAATGTATCAAGCTGTATAAAACGCATGATTAAACCACCGTACTGCGTGATTTGTTGGCCACGTTCAGCTCGTTGGTTATCAGCCGAATGTGTTGTCCTCTAGCTTGTTTAATTCGGTATTGATATCCCTTGTTGATGACAATGTTTTCATGAGAACGCAACGATATTGTGCTGCGTGGGTAAATTATGCCAGTTATGTTATATTTAGTCATAGTCTTGCAAAAATAGTTTATGTCAGTAGCGAATATTGAACGGCAAAATTTACGTGTCAACGTATTTAGCCCATGTGGGCTAACTGGGGACACTGTATTAACTCTACCTAAAAATTTTCATTGATAGTATTATAAGATTCCCTTAAAATTTTCTTGGTTTGACCAAGACTGAAACTTTTTTTCCATGTCACCGATAGCCATAAAAATTATCGCATCTTCAGTTTGCGTAAACTTCTCATTTCAAGTGGCCGCGTTCAGGATTTTCGCGCGTATTTTGTAAGTGGAGTGGGGTGGGGTAGAGCGAAGGGGGGTAATATTTTGGAGGGGCGGAAGCTCATAACACCACAAAATTCCTGAAAGTCACTGGAACAGAACTTATTGAATACGAAGAGCTAATTTTCTATTCACCACGGATACGTGACACACTTGCGCTGTTCGTTAACTACTCCACGTCCGCCATCGATTGTTCCGTGAACATTTCGTGTCACAAGCTATAGCTGAGAGAGACCTTCATTAGGTCTTCCTCGTACTCACCGCTGGTAAAGATCTTTTAATCCACAATTTAGTAGACGCAATTGTAGTATTGATGTTATTGACTTTGGATAAATATCTGTTTTGATTGATGCGCGAATTATTCGCCACTTTTTAGTCAAGTGAAACTTCGCTACAGAGCATGTCTGAAAACGATATTCAGAGAAGTGGTTAGCTCTTGTGGTTTGGACTCACGCGACTAAAAGTTTTCTAGCCGTAACATGGATGGTCAAGGATAGGTCACTAACATATACTTCACCGTGGCACGCATTGGGTAAACAATGTAAACCTGAAACGCTTTCAAATTTTCAATTCATTGTTACCTAATCGTTTCTGGTTTCTTTTCTCGCACAGGGAAGTCATGGCAGCGGTGATTTGCTTGGTTTTATTGTTTATCACCGCGTTTGGATGCGGATCTTGTGAAAGATCAACGCAATGTTTCGAGAGCTGTGTTTCTAAGGTATGCGGTCACTGTCTTGAAAGTAAATGAAATGTCTTATATGTGTATGCTAACTGTACCAGAACGGGCAAATTGATTGAAATTAAATCTCGACATTTGAACATTTTGAAACTCTTGTCTTGCGAATTAGCCAATCTTAAGTAACCTGGTCTTGCTGCCGTGACTCAAACCTAGCAGATATTTTCAAACTTGTTAAGGCACATTCCGATATTGCTACTACGCACATATAATGAAAATTAGCAAAATCACGTTTGTTTTGAAGACTTTAATGTAGAACAATATGCAAAAGTATTAAACCGTGACTGGAACCCAGCAGACATTTTCAAACTTGCTAAAGGATGTTCCGATATTTCTGCAACGCACATACAAAAATTAGCAAAATCACGCTTGTTTTGAAGACTTCAGCGTAGAACAATATGCAAAAGTATTAAAAGCGATTATCCATTTCTGTAAAAATTGTACGCGGCAAATTTAGTCAGCCCGGTTTAGCGACTATAGTTTGCGCACCTAAAATATACTACATCAACTATGTAAAGGGTACATGTAAACTTCGGTCTGTGTACAGGCATATGATTCAAAAATTCTCAAAAACACAATGACTACCAGTTTCTTGAATTGTTCCTTAGAAGTGAAAAAACTTGTCTTGCATTGAGAACCCAAAAATCTTTCGTTGTTATCACGATTTTCAGAATTGGAACCCATCAAAAAATAACGTGGAATTTGTTTAATATCGTCATGTCCAGTGACCATGACATGGATTTCAGTGAAAATATTTGATATATTTTACAGGAAAATAGCATTTTTAACACCTGGGAACTATAAAACTTGTCCAAGACGGTCTTTAAGTCTACTAAGATTTCAAAGTTCTCGTCTAATATGCTTTCCATCGATACCAGTTGAAGTCGTGTCCCTAGGCATAATTGACCATAATGGACATCGTTGTTCATGATTGACATGGTTATGTAAATTAGATCAGTAAATAAATTACTTTTTTAAACAAAATTACCTTTGACGAAATGCAACGCCGCGCACACACAAAGAAAGATCAGTAACTCCTTTTTGAAAAGCCTAAGTTTAACTCTGCGTTCTAAAGTCTTGGAAACCAGGACGACCCAAGCACTGGTGCAAGCAAAAAAGCAGGCAAAAGAAAAGATAGTATTTTCGTTCTCTTGCACCGCAGGGCAGTGACGGCAGTACATCCGAATCAAACAAGGAGAAACAAAAATTTTAATATTCTTATTGCTAGACTTATTGTTGTCCTATCTTTTGTCTTCTTCAGATTCCAGACGAACCTCAGCTTTGTAATGACACTTGTCTTCAGTTGCTAAATATATATTCAGGTTAGTGAGTACAAAGTCTACCGAGAAGATTGTAAACTCAACGATGAAGATGAAGACCAAAGCATGTTTGTCAGTCTCAAGATACATGCGTTTACGTTAGTTTTAAAACTTTGCTTTGAACCTTCTGTAGCCAACAACATCACTACCAACGTCACCACTGTATCACCGCCGACACCAGATGAACCTGTGTTGCTTTCATCCGGGTACTTTACCTTCAACCTGGACTGGAGAAATTACAATGAAATCAAATACAACGCTTCGCCAGTTGTTTATGTTCTGGAAGTTACTCGCCATGAGAACATCACTGACCCATTTGTCATCTTGCCCCTCATACAGAAATATCACACGGTAATCTATTTTTTTATCTTTTACTAGAGCTTCTTCTCTGTTTTTGGTATAGTACATAAACAATCTTTACAAATCCTTGCCCCTTTGATTTCAAAATGCCTGAAAAAGAACCCGGTTTTAACAAATTAGATCAACTTCTGGAGTAATCACCATCACAGGTTGGAGAGCATTGAAAATGATTTTTAGAAAGGACTTATGGAAATACGCAAAAAGGGTAAAAACTACCTGTATCTTTCCGCCATGACGAAACGTAGAATTCCTGTGATTTTCGATCCTAAGAGAAGTTATTTGCGGCCATTGACCTTTAGTGGAGGCCACTGGAAGTATTGCAGCTTGAACTAGGTTACGTTCCATACAGAAAACTCTAAAAACACCTCGCCGAGTTAGACTCCATGGCTAGTTTTGAATTTTTGCGAAGTTGATCATAGTTCATCGCGAGTCTCTCTGTAGATCACTGGTCTGAGAGCCCTGGCGGGGAGGTCACGGGTTCGAATCCTGCCGGAACTCAGATTTTGTCACTCACGACATATAACAAACATGCAATATTTTTATCAGTGAACCCTATTGCGAATCTCGGATTGGACATATTTACTAGACGACATAAATTGTAAATTAAAGTTACTCACATATTGTCAACTTTGATCACCTTCCAGACGACAAACACGAATTTCACCATCCCGGAAGAATTCGTCACCAAGACAAACTTCTCGTTCCGTTTGGCAGTGGTTGCACTCCAAGGGACTTCGAACTTCTCATCACCAAGTCCTCTATATACAACAAACAGTAAGTTCTGAACCTCATAAAATTTGCGTTTACAGATACCCATGTAACTAGAAATTCATTTCTTGCAAAGGACTGTTTTTACATGATCTTTCAGGCCTGCTAACGGAAATGTGTAGCCGGATGATTTAAATCCTGGGGCAAGGGAATTTAATTGGAAAGTTAAATATTGATTTTGACGCTGAGCATACTGGGACCGGATCGTGAGCTCATGCCAGGCTAAAGCTGCAAAGTGAATTCTTTCTCAGAGGCCAGGTACGCGTCCCCTCTCTGCTACGCAGAGGTTCGAACGTTCTTTCAGTAGGTTCGTTCTGGAAATCCGCTGAGTGCAGGCGCACAATCCAATGGATCTGACAGTCGCCCTTCACGTAGCCCTGGGCCTGCATTCACAGCGCTCAGCGGATTCTTCCCACCCGAAAAATGCCCTTTGAGCCTCTGCGGAGGAGATAGACGGGCCCCTAGCCTCGATTTCCTCCGTTCTCTGGAGTCCGGTCCGAGGCGGAGAAGGAGGAGTGCGGGCTCCTTATCCGGACAGCGGCTGGTAATCGAGCCTAACGCGCGTCTAACACATCCCAAACTCTTTCACTTACTCATTTATTATTTTCTTTTAAATTTTCGACAGGTTCTTGTGAAAGAAGGGAAAACTTTTATAATAAGAGCTTGTTAAACCCGTGCCCAGTGTTTAACGTTCGCGTCAGCTTTAGAGTATCGCCGATCCCACTTGAAAAACCGAACATTTCAACCATCATTCACTGGGATTTACCTCACGGTACGTTAANTCACCAAGACAAACTTCTCGTTCCGTTTGGCAGTGGTTGCACTCCAAGGGACTTCGAACTTCTCATCACCAAGTCCTCTATATACAACAAACAGTAAGTTCTGAACCTCATAAAATTTGCATTTACAGATACCCATGTAACTAGAAATTCATTTCTTGCAAAGGACTGTTTTTACATGATCTCTCAGGCCTGCTAACGAAAATATGTAGCCGGATGATTTTAAATCCTGGGGCAAGGGAATTTAATTGGAAAGTTAAAAATTGACGTTGACGCTGAGCACACTGGGACCGGATCGTGAGCTCATGCCAGGCGAAAGCTGCAAAGCGAATTCTTTCTCAGAGGCCAGGTACGCGTCCCCTCTCTGCTACGCAGAGGCTCGAACGTTCTTTCAGTAGGGTTCGTTCTGGAAATCCGCTTAGTGCAGGCGCACAATCCAATGGATCTGACAGTCGCTCTTCACGTAGCGCTGGGCCTGCATTCACAACGCTCAGCGGATTCTTCCCACCCGAAAAATGCCCTTTGAGCCTCTGCGTAAGAGATAGACGGACCCCTAGCCTCGATTTCCTCCGCTCTCTGGAGTCCTGTCCGAGGCGGAGAAGGAGGAGCGCGGGCTCCTTACCCAGACAGCGGCTGGTAATCGAGCCTAACGCGCGCCTAACACATCCCAAACTCTTTCACTTACTCATTTATTATTTTCTTTTAAATGTTCGATAGGTTCTTGTGAAAGAATGGAAAACTATTATAATAAGAGCTTGTTAAACCCGTGCCCAGTGTTTAACGTTCGCATCAGCTTTAGAGTGTCGCCGATCCCACTTGAAAAACCCAACATTTCAACCATCATTCACTGGGATTTACCTCACGGTACGTTAAATGTTATCATGGTATACTCTGTCGTGGGTTAAGATTAGAGCATGTCGTGAAATGTCTTTCCGGTGTTACTTTGCGTCACGTTGCGTTACTTTGCGTTACTTTGCATTGTGTTGCGTTATGTAACTTCACAGTAATAAGCGTACACAGTTATGATTGGTTAAAAAGTAATAAATCCTCTTCTATCCAATTAGAGAAAACATTTTTTTAAGTAATCAGGAATCGAGATGAAATTAAAATTGATGAAGTCAGTAACTGTGTGGCGCGCATTATGCGCATGCGTTAGGCAGCACGCCGGCAGCACGTATGCTTTCTCTTTGACTTCGGATTAGTGTTTTTTGTTGTTTACGTTTGCTGCAATTTGCCAGATGTGACCATGAAGTTTTGGTTTTCATTTTACAATCAAAGCCTGCCCTGAGTTTGGTTGTATAATTGTAATAGTTCACGTTCTGTCACGTTGTAGTTCATTTCATCTCGTTTTACATCACGTCATGCCACGCCACATCACTGAGTCACGTCATGCCATGTCGTGCCATCACATCACGTCATATTATGCCATACCATGTCATGTCATGTCGCATCACGTCATGTCAGTTCATGTCATGTCATGTCGTGCTATGTCACATCATGTCATGTCATGTCATGTTAAGTCATGTTATGTCGTCACATCACGTTATGTCATGCCATGTCATGTCATGTCATGCCATGTCACATGTCATGTCATGTTATATCATGTCACATCACGTTATGTCTTGCCATGTCATGTCATGTTGTATCAAATTTCTTTATTTCTTCTTATACCCCCGCAGATGTACACACCCACCTAGAGGAAGACCACATAACCCTTGAGATCATACTTCTTGATGATCAGCCGCAGTACTGCTTCAACTTTGGTCTTTGGGACCATTCCACTCGCACTTACCCTGAACATCCGGTAATTTCAAGAGAGTTTTCTTATGATTATTTAAAAAAAAAGGAAAAAAGTAATAGACCTTATCACGGTTTTGGAAGCCATCTTGACAGGTAGGCAACACGCCAAATTACAATGTTTGTATGGGAATCTCAGAATAAATACCAATAGGATGGCAGTATTTGCGTTGGTATGTTAGCAGATTTCAGAAATTTGAATAAGTTGCTTTTATTTTGATTAACTGAGGTTTTTTGTCTTCTCACGCGCATTCTAAAGGCTACCNATTATTTATTTATTATTTGTATTGCGCCTTTTCTATAAAATATTCAAAAGCGTAACTTCACAGTAATAAGCGTACGCAGCTATGATTGGTTAAAAAGTAATAAATCCTCTTCTATCCAATTAGAGAAAACATTTTTTTAACTAATCAGGAATCGAGATGAAATTGAAATTGATGAAGTCAGTAACTGTGTGGCGCGCATTATGCGCATGCGTTAGGCAGCACGCATGCTTTCTCTTTGACTTCGGATTAGTGTTTTTCATTGTTTACGTTTGCTGCAATTTGCCAGATGTGACCATGAAGTTTTGGTTTTCATTTTACAATCAAAGCCTGCCCCGAGTTTGGTTGTATAATTGTGATAGTTCACATTCCGTCACGTTGCAGTTCATTTCATCTCGTTTCACATCACGTCACGCCCCACCACATCACTGAGTCACGTCATGTCATGTCATGTCATCACATCACGTCATATTATGCCATACCATGCCATGTCATGTCGCATCACGTCATGTCATGTCATGTCGTATCAAATCGTGTCATGTAATTTTTTCTTCTTATACCCCGCAGACGTACACACCCACCTAGAGGAAGACTTCATAACCCTTGAGATCACGCTTCCTGATGATCAGCCGCAGTACTGCTTCATCTTTGGTCTTCGGGACCATTTCGTTGATACTTATCCTGAACATCCGGTAATTTCAAGAGAGTTTTCTTATTATTATTT